ACTGTTGAAGACCTACCTAGGATCTGGTTGACAAATTGCTAGGGGCCCATATGGACTTGGATCTGGGTCTCGTTGCTCGTCTCAATCGTACTGCACTATTGACTGGCACCAGTCGCGAAGGTGCGGTCCTGTTGCTGGGCTGTTACCTGCCCCGAAGCGGCTGTATGTCGAACGGGGCCACGCTGCCTAGCTAAAGCACTCCTATGTGGCATGCTGTCACTCTAGGGCAGTCAACGTGGCTCCCAACGACTTACCACGTCTACGTTTACCATCGCCTGTATATGGTGAATCAGTTCAGGTAAACGCTCCGCTTTGATGCAAGTCGCTGTAAATTATATGCTACACATGCCGCTTATGATATACGGTCCTGTACGAAGGCCTCTGTTCGGGTCCCTCGAATCGCTCTGGTCCCCGAGCACATCTCAGCTTCTCGTCTATCGACAGCCCGTGCTCTTTCAGAGGATTGGGAGACAGCGTACCGGCCATAGGTGTGGCTTTCACCCAGCTACCGCGTAGCAAAGATTCTCGCTCGGCTACAGCGTTCTGTATTACAGGTGGCTCTCACTAGCGTTTTCCACAATTAATCAATGTACATGGGCTAAACGAAGGGCAGTCAGAGCTGCAGTCCTTACAGACAATCGTTATGGTACGTTCTCCCCGCACGAGCGTGGTCTGATCTCAGTCCCATTGAACACCCTTCACAGGACGCCCGCAAGGATTGAGAGACCTCCGGCTGCAGCTATGCCGAATGTGAGTGCTTCCGAGGCGACGGACAGTGTATGTGCGGCGCCTGATGTCGTGGATGCGTTTTCTAGGGTCCCATTGGCCTGCATTCGATGAGTATCGCTGTACAAGGTTGGGTGAAACTATGGCCACGTACACCGATGCAACCCGCAGGCCCTGAGCATGCCGTATTACGATTCTCGGCGATTACGTTCGCCTGTTGTGGGTCTATGGGTGTGGGAGATGCGGAGACTACAGATACGCACGTCAACGTCATCGCTTCAGCACTATCGCGCTGGCTTGATCAACCCACCAAAAGTGCAAGAGGCAACGAGAAGGAGCGTAAGGGTCTGAACGGCGCGTGCGTACATTGTGACTTCAAAGAATGTGGGAAGGCTGATGGTATCTTCTATCGCAGGTATATGGGGCGCAGTAGTGAGATGTGAGATTGCGCTACAGACTGTCGAGAGCAGGGGTCGGTCAACGAACGAAGATTCCGGTGACGAACCTTAGGCCTTTAAGTTCACCGTCGGCCCCTCTCAGAAATTACTTTGTTCTTGGACGGCCGAGGAATAAGATTCATTTACGTTGCTACCCGCCCTCGGGCGAAAGGGAGACCCAAAAGCGGCAGAAGAGTCGGTATCCACGTGGACCATTAGAAGGTGAGAGACGCTCGCGGCTAGCCAACACGCCTTCGTTCACTGATGTTGTATTCTCCTTCGCTCTTGTAACGTGTAAGTCGCAGTTGGATTCCAGCTGGTTTTCTTGGATGGCGTATTCGTGAATCGACGCTAGAGGAGACCATCACTGAATAAATCCATGTAGTCTTCGAAGAGTCCTGACAATCAGCGTTTTTGCAAGCATACAACGTGATGTACAACAACGTCGAAGACAAAGTACAGGTACGCGACGCGACAATATTCATCACGACCTCACGTCTCCTCTCATCTCCATGCCGAGTATATGTGCGTCGGGGCTTGTCCCGTTAGCGAGAAATATGGTTGAAGGAATGCAACTGCCTCCCATTCTCGTTCGGGGAACATCGTTGGCTCATTTGTGGCCCTCGATGCGTGCTTGCGCTCGTCTTCCGTACGTTGGACTGTCCTTTGCTCGTTAGCGGGGTGTCTTGGTGCGGGACAAGCAGATGCGCCACTTACAATTCTCGAGCTGCAGGCCAAAGACGAAGTCGAATGCGGCTTTCATCAATTTCGAAAGTGTTGACATCTTAGTACACAAGCGGGAAGGCTTTGCGATGGCGAGAGTCGAGGGTCTCGATGGAGGTGAGTGTCCAATCATGATCTCTAGAGAGGCCATTTTCTACCCGTCGTACGGGACAAAGACCGTTTGCTCAAGCTAGCCGCGACCCTCTGCTTGTGTGGAGGCGCGTGCGTGGTGTTTGTTTGTGGAGGTTCTACGCTGATGCTGCGTGTGTTGATGGATGGCTGCAAAGCCTCTTTGTGTAAGTTGCAGAGCATGAGCGTGCTCGTCGCGGACGACATCCTCTGCCAAAGACCAATCTTACACACCATTACGACACTCGACGCGGTCACGTTGCTCGACACGGTTACGGAGGCCCGTCGGCGCGGTGGCTACTCGACGTATCGCTGCACCCTCGTGGTGGGTGGACGATAAGAACAAACGCGTTGAGGCTCTATGCCTCTTATCAGCGCCATGTTTGTCTCAGCGTACTCGTGCAAGTGTTAGATATCGGAAGATTGTGGTTCTCATGCGGGCCTCTGGTAGAATTTCGAAGGACTTCAGGTGCCGGATAGCGGCAGCTGACTCAATTGCCTACGCCAGATGCTCTCCGTCGTACAGTATAAAAATGCGACGCATTCACAGTCTCCCTAAGGCGTTTCGAGATGAAGACCGTATCCCTCATTGTGGCGAGTTTCTTCTTTTCGCTTTCGACCCATGCCGTACAAGTTACCATCCAATCTACGGGAAGGACACTGACTCTCGGCAACGTCTCGTACTTCGTACCCTCGTCTCCGGTATCACAGCTCCCCAACGCTGCAACACACCTCAAGTCTACCTCTGGCGATCTGGTCCCTTTCTCTGTGATCCCGACGTCGAAGTCGGTATTTGATGAGCAGGCATTGCAAGCGACGATCAACTTATGGGCCGCAAAGGATGACGTATGGAACGATGCCTTCTTGACTGGTATGTAGCCTCCGCATTAAGGTGGTGATACCACACTGAACTGCGTTGCATGCAAGGCGTGTATGTTACTTTCAACGGGACGTTTGGAACCCCGAAGACGTCGCTTGGCAGTGCTTTGAACAGGTTTGGTATCGAGCATCTGTTACGCTCTAAACGCTTCTCCGCTGGCATTGACTTGACGACGCCGCTGCCCTCGGGACCATACTTTGTGGAACCTGCGACCGGGAACATCTTTGAAGGTTCGAACGACTATGGCACGTCCCCTGGAAACCACTGGCTGACGTTCAAGTTTGCGCAGCGTACCGCCTATACAACGACGAGAACCAGTCTTTCTTGTATGGAACGATCTCTGACGGTCATGGTGGTTTCCAAGTGTTGCCCGCACGCATCTCTGGCGCTGCGACAGAGACCATCGGCGTTCCGTCTCGTCTCTACTTTACCCCCACCCCCGAAAAGCCCCTCGCTGGTTTCCGCCTTGCAGTCAAGGACATTTACGATGTCAAAGGCCTGCGCACCGGATGCGGCAATCGTGCGTTCTGGCAGCTGTATCCGCCGAAGGAGCGCACCGCACCGGCTATCCAGCGCCTTCTCGATGGTGGCATGGTGCTCGTCGGCAAGGCGAAGACGTCGCAATTCGCCAACGGGGAGACCGCAACAGACGACTGGGTGGACCTCCATGCACCGTATAATCCGCGCGGCGATGGGTATCAGGACGGGAGTAGCTCGTCGACCGGACCGGGCACTGCGACGGCGGCGTATCCGTGGCTGGACTTCGCGGTCGGGAGCGATACGGGTGGGTCAATGCGAGGCCCCGCAGGGGCAAATGGTTTGTTCGGGAACCGGCCGTCGCACGGGGCGGTCAGTTTGGACGACGTGATGCCGCTTTCGCCCGAGTTGGACACGGCGGGCATCTTCACTCGCGACGCGAATCTGTGGGCTCTCGCGGGGCACTGGTGGTATACCAACTTCACATCTGTGAGTCTTGCGGAGCTATCGGTGGGTTATCGATACTCATCGTCTGTCATAGTACTCCAGGTTCCCGAAGAAAATCTTGTTCCCAATCGACTTCTTCGGAAGTAGTTTCTTGACGAATCCGCCCGCACCCGGTACAGCGGACGCGACTTTCAATGCGTTCATCAGCAAACTGGAAAAGTTCCTTGGAACCACGCGCACGGAGGTGGACTTCACGAACCTATGGAATGCGACGAAGCCGGCCAATGTCTCCGCGCCTTCTCTGCAGACGTTGCTGAGCACGACTTACGCAGACTTGATCAGTCTCGACCAGATTGCGCTCGTCGCGGACCCCTTCATTGCAGACTACGGAGCAGAAAACGGCGGGCGTATGCCATTCATAGACCCCGCCCCTCTGGCACGATGGAACTATGGCCACGGCTTGCCTGACGGGAGGAAAGCGGAAGCCCTTGTCAACAAGACCATCTTCATGGACTGGTTCGCGAGCCAGGTGATCAAAGCAAACTCGGAAACATGCGCAGACGCGATACTGCTCTATCCACAGAGCTCAGGCAGAACGAACTATAGAAATCGTTACATCAGGTATGATCCTCCTGGTGCGTGTGGATGACAGCCGAACGGATGCTCGTTCACAGTCCTCCCTCTGCTCCTCTTGGATTTTCATCCGGGCGTGTCGCCGTCCACGCAGAAACGCCCGATATGGTTGTGCCCAGTAAGTATCAGTATCTCGGTGCATCAGGCTCTCCGTCGGAGTCCGTCGTGCTCAGTTATTCTCATAGTTGGTGAGGCGCCGTTCAACTCGACTATCACAGGGAAGACGGAGTATCTGCCAGTCACGCTGAGCTTCGTTTCCGCGAAAGGCTGCGTAAGTACTCCAACTGTCGCTTGGCACCCACTGACACGATACATTGGAATTGAATGTCTAGGACTTGGTGCTATTCAATCTCTTCTCTACCTTACAGGACGTGGGGGTCTTGAGGCCGGTAGTTACGGGTTCAAGAATGTTTGTGTGAATTCCACTCTCCTAATGAGGATAGCAAAGTTGTATGAGCTCGATGTGTAGATTCTACTGTTTGTGAGTCTTGCAGCGCCCCCAGGCCTTCGAAGTCTACAAAGGAGGACCAAACATAGCGCAAAAAGGATTCCCACCAGCCGACTCGAACGACTGACCTCGTCATAGCCCACATTTTTGTATCAGGTGATAATACTAGTGACGCGCTCTACCAACTGAGCTAGGCGGGACTTATTATGATTTGGCAACTTAGCAATATAACTGCACTTAACACCAAGGACGCTGGGAATCTCGCTATTAACGAGACGCATCGTAGCCACAACACAGGCCGATACCTATCCTCTAACTTCCTCTCTTCTGGTTTCAACATCCTACATCCTTCCACTGGATCAAAATCAATATGGACCACAAAGCACTATCCAAGCTCACATACAATGAACTCCAGAAACTCGCCAAGGTGGGTCACGCATCGGCCTAGGCTAAGCAGTTTCATTGTTGTGGCTAACATCGCCCTTTGCCTTCCCCATCCCCGACACGCAGCGAGAGGGCATCCGGGCGAATCAGAAGAAGGCATTGATCGTCTCGGAGCTTGTGCGAAAGTACCATCCGATGCTTGTGCCGGTGTATGAGCATCTGCGTAGTCCTGATCGTGTAATGTACTGACTGAAATTCCTAGGAGCACTGCGGCAAGCACCAGGATGTCGAGCCGCAGTCAAGTCACTACTAGATCGGTATCAGCTTTGTTGAAGACGCATGTCAAAGACAAAGAGCCGGAGATACCAGTGCAAGGTGTTCTGCGGCGCGTGACTTCCTATGAGGATACACAAGGTGGGTGAAAGCAGCCGTTAATTGGACATCGGGGACTAAGAGGAGGATGTCACCAGAGCCAAACCAGAGCCACAAAAGCCCCAATGCGACGCCGCATAGTTTGGATGACAGTCACTTGAGTGAGCAAATGGCTTTTGAGCCATTGTGAATAGCGTTTGCTGATTCGGTGACCATAACCAGGCGATGCACCTAGTTCACCAAGCTCGCCCTGGAGTAACGGAAACAGTAAGAAACCTTCACTGAGAGAGTCTTTGCCACTCACCTTACATTCGTTTGCAGAGAGGTCGCCTTTGCCCAATTTCACACTAAGGCCGGCAACATGGAGCCCTGTCCTGCGCAATAGGACACAAGGTGAGCGTTCCAATGGCACTGGTTGTCCAGCAGTCTATATAAACAAACACCGCCCTTCAGTTCACGATACCTACACCCCCTCCAACCATTCTGCCCCATCTCAGTGCATCTCCACTCCGCTGGCGAACGAACAACGTGCTCGAGTGCACGAGCAAGATGTTCACGCGATCACGATTGAAGACGTTGCTTCCGCGGGCGGACCACACCGTCCTCGCGTATCCGCGAAGAAATCAGATATCCCAAGGCGAGACACGAGCGGCACAGTCACTCAAACACTAAAAGAGCTTCAACAAGCTCTCAATCTCGTTACCCCCCTTGCGAACGAGGAGACGGAGACGAGGGAGCAGGTTCGAGAGATCCAGCTCCTTGTGTCAAGCATCGGCCGGCGCACAGCCGCTCTCAGGGAGAAGGCACGGCGCCTTCACCAACTCCGCCTGGCGCTTGAGCGCCATCTTCCGGAGCTGCGACCTCCACAGGCGGGTCCAGCAGCGCCGCGCACAGAGGAGGGGCCGGGGAGTGAAGGCGAGGAGGAAGAGTCGATCGAGGTCGAAGAAATGACCTCGAGAAAGGTCGATTCCTCCGACCTCCCGTCCACCCCAGGTAGTGGCGATGAGACGGAAGGGTACGTCCTCGGCTTCATATGCCATAGCAATCCTTGACTCACCCACAAAACCATAGTCCCGGTCTGAAACGCAAGCGTCTAACAGAGGACGCTAGCCCAGATGGCTCGCCACGGAAGCGAGCACGCGCGGTATCGAGTGTATGATGGAGCCCGTATCGTAGATTCCTCGCTCGTTGAGCGGTGTTGTGTTGTTCGAGTGCCTCCAGTGTATTTCTGCTGTCGCTGTAAATTGTACGATGTCCGTCAGGATATACACGGTTCGCATAATGATAGATACCGGTTTGAACACGTCGGAATGAAGACGCGGTACATTCACTTGGTTGCTCAGCCTCACACTACATGCGCGTTGCGGCAGTCCAATGTCGGCTCAACAGGAACCCACAGATAGTATTGTGACTGGGGCGTCCGAGCGTACCACTCTACCACACGTATAGTAAGCATGACGTCTGCCCGGTCAAAGCGGCACTTACAGCGAGCAAGCGTTTCTGCAGACTAGGTAGGCGTCAGACGGTGACGAGCGCTAGGTGCAGCCCGTGGGAACCTAGACACTACTTGAGGCGCGCCGCGCGCGTAGCCACCACACCTGCCAAACCTCTTCTTCATCTTCCCCTAGCTTTCCAACCGCAGTATAACTTCTCTGTCCCTTCATACACGTATAAGCATGGACTACAAGGCATTGTCAAAGCTTACCTACGCTGACCTCCAGAAGCTCGCTAAGGTATGTCGCGCGTCGCCCGGCCGAGTCTTGCTTGCGAGGCTAACTGACCTGCTCGCCCACGCGCATAGCGAGACGGCATCCGGGCAAACCAGAAAAGGTCCCAAATAGTGTCAGAGCTCGTGCAGAAGTACCACCCGATGCTTGTCCCAGGGTAATTGTAGCGTTAGCCCTCGTCGATCGCGTGGGGTACTGACTAGCATTGTAGCCACACTGCCGCAAGCATGAGCACGTCTAGTCGCAGCCAAGTCCCAACCGAGCCAACATCTGCATCGCTCAGGAAGGAAAGTGCGGGAAAAGCGAGAGAAACGCCATTGCAAAGCCCTGCGCAGCGTATAGCATCCTCTGAGGACGCACAAAGTGAGTGCGAAGCTCATTTGCCAGACGTCAGACACTAAGGCTAAGGACGTCGCCAGAAGCAAGCAAGAGCCAAGTGAGCCCCAGTTCGATGTCGCAAAGTTCTGATGGCAGCTTTGAAGGTGAGCAAACGAGTCTCAGTCCTTTTTGAGTACCGTGTTTGCTGAGCCAATGGTGACACCCAGACGATATGTCGTTACAAAGCTCGTCCTGGCAATGGGGCAACGGACAGAGTAAGAGACATTCACTGAAAGGCCTTTGCCACTCACCTTACAATGGTTTGTAGAAGGAACGCCATTGCCATCGTTCACACTAAGGCCGGCGACCTGGAGCCCTATTCGCAAAGGTGAGAAACCGTGTGGCACCGCCTATCTAACCACTTACTTAAATCCAACCTCACCTTCAGCAAACGATACCCACACGCTCTCAGACGACCCTGCCTCAAGCCAGAGCCAGCACGTCCCTATCCCTCTAACCCATGCACAACCTGCTCGGATGTGCGAGCAAAATGCGCACCCACCCGCTAGCGAAGATATCTCGCCTACAGACGGACCGCGTCCTCACCTACCAACCACCTTCTCAGGCCACAACTCCAAATGCAGTGGCAATGAAGCAGTGGCGCCTATGCGTCTCCCTACCGTCGGAGAGCTCCAGCAAGCTCTAGACATCGTTGCGCCCCTCGCAGATGCAGAGGAACAAACAAGAGAGCAGGTCCATGAGATCCGGACCCTCCTCATCAGCATTGGCCAGCGCACAGCGATGCTCAAGAAAAAGGGGCGACGGCTTCAACAGCTTCGTCTGGCGCTCGAGCGCCATCTTCCAGAGCTGGAGGGAGCGCATCCTTCCCAAGCCGGCAGACAAGCATCGGGCGTGGAGGAGAACGCAGGGGCCGGGGTCGATGACGAGGAGGAGCTGCTCGAGGTCGAGATGGCCTTGAGAGGGGCCAACTTCTCCGACATACCATCGGCTCCAAAAGAGGGTGCTGAGCAGAAGAGGTACGCCCTTGGCTCTATGTCTTCATGATGTTCGACTCACCTCTGATAACCATAGCAGGGGCCAGAAGCGGACGCGTCCAGCGGACGACGCTAGCCCGGACGGTTCACCGCGGAAGCGGGCACGCGCAAGGTCGAGCGTGTAGAGGGGAAAGGGGGATATCGCACCTGTGCGTTAAACTACGTTGTTGAATTTTGTGTATTCCTAGCATCATCTTGGTATCGTTGTAAAATGTATCACGTTCACCAAGACTCCGACGGTATGCAGTATAGTGGTTTGAGTGTGAGCATGTATGGGACACCCGCGTGCTCGGCCTCACGGTGCACTTGTGTTGAGGCTGGTCAACGTCGGATTCGGCAGGCTATTATGACACGAGGCCCGGCAATAGGGTCTCTCCAACAGAGGATGATTTGCTTTTAATGTACCCTGGACTCACGCATGTGTACAATGAATAGTATATCTGCCCACTCGGAGCGACACTCACAGTGAGCAGCCAATTCTGTAGAGCAGGTGTCGATAGGGCGCTAAGCGTGGACCGTGGGAATAACCCGGCACTACGACTAGGCGCGCATTCGCGATCGTAGCCACAACATCTTCCTAGCGTCTTCACCTCTCCCGGGCCACAATATACCTGCGCTCTTCGATTAGCAACAAGTAAATATGGATCACAAGGCACTGTCCAAGCTTACATACGCTGAGCTTCAGAAGCTCGCCAAGGTACGTCGCGCGTCGAAGTCACCGAAGCTTGCCTATTGTGGCTGACGTCCGACCTGCTCGTCTGTCCCCTGTGGTGTCCCGGCGCGTAGCGGGATGGCATTCGAGCGAACCAGAAGAAGGCCCAGATTGTTTCAGAGCTCGTGCAGAAGTATCATCCGATGCTTGTCCCAGCGTATGAGCAACGTCATTGCCGTTGTGGTCCATGGCGTACTGACTAGCGTTGTAGCCACACCGTCGCAAGCACGAGCACGTCTAGCCGCAGTCAAACCACACCCAGAGCAAAACCTGCCTCCCTGAGGACAGAGAGAAAGGGCGGAGCGAGAGAAACACCAGTGCAGGATGCTTTGCAGCGTATTACGATCGCCACCGACCCACAAAGTGAGTGCCAAGCCGTTTGCCAGACGTCAGACGCTAAGACCAAAGATATCGTCAGAAGTAAGCCAGAACCAAGTAACCCCCAGTGCAAGGTCGCATAGTTCGGAAGACAGCTTTGAAGGTGAGTGAGCGAATCCTAGACGTCTTTGGGTATCGCGTGTACTGAGCCAACGACAATACACAGACGAAGCGCCTGCAGAAACTGCACCCTGGCAATGGGGAAACGAACATAGTAAGAGACATTCACTCAAAGGCTCTTGTCACTCACCTTA